ATACAGGATCACATGGGATCGAATATAGGTGAGCAAGCAATTGTCTAATATTGTCGTATTAATATATTGAAACACTCTCTTTCCTCTGCAAAGGCAATGCACCAAGCGCCAGCTCGCCTATTTCGAAAAACATGCGCCACACAAATGGTTGGGACTACAAACTGCAATCGCCTTTCGCACATCGAAAAATTTCGGGAGACAGCTCACAACCGGCTCTACAGATAGCCAATCTCTCGTCGAGTACGGCAAAACAACAACGCTTTAAGCCGCCTCAGCTGTTGACAACATTTGTGCCGGCGGCAGGTAATGCGAGCTCGTCAAACTCGACCGGTTTTACAGTAACAGCGCCGAGTGTGCAGAGCCAGCCAAATACGTCCACAATTGAAACAGTCGCAATCACGACAACGCCTATAAATGCGCCATCGACACTAAGTAGCCCAAAGCACTTCTTTGCGCCACTTAAACCCCGGCTGAAACTCAACACAGATTTGGCTAATAAAACCACGAACAACACCAACGTGCCTGGGGTACCACCCCTAAGTTCCAATCCAACAACAGCGGCGGTCGATGTTGAAGCAAATGCCTGCCAAAATTGCGACCCGCCTGACCTCTATGTACACAACGGTGTGGCTTCGCCCTACCAGCGTCAAATAGCGACCGCAACGACTGCGGCCAATGCGGTGCCACCGCCAGTGCCTCAACGTGGCAGCTCCTCTCAAGTAAGTCCCCAGCATCGCGCTCGCGCGCATCACCAACACCAATATATGCAGGAGTGGCAGCAGCAGCAGTCGAACATGCGTCAACATTTGCATCCGCACCAGTATACGCATCAGTACCAGCAGCAGCACCAGCGGCCACTGCAACAGCAACACTCGCAGCTGCATTCAGCTGTTGGGCTACCGCAATCGGTTGTCACCATCACGGTGACCGTAGATGATGCTGATGAGGTCGCCGCCGGTGCTGATACTGTTGCCGCTAGCGGTACTGATGCGACTGTTGCTGCCACTGCAGTGCCTAACAATTTGGCAGTGAAGGGTAACCGCACCCCATCGGCGGCATTAATTAACTCGCCACTTTCACTGCAAGCATCGCTTTGTGCTACGGCAACAATACCAGTCCTGCAATCGCCTGCCGCCATGCCAGCGGTTTTTGTTGCACAACCTAACACTGTAATAACTAAGTTAAGTGAGCCAATTTATGCTACCGCACAAAAGCGCAGTAAGAGCCTAATTACCGCACCAGCGCTCACCAAACCTCTGGTGGCGGCTATCATCACCCCTACCAAGCGTCCAACGCCAACAACATCAAACAAAAGTAGTGCGACAGCAACGCCAGTTCACTCGCCGATACCAGCGCCTACGCCAACATCGGCGCAAAAAGCAATGCTTGTGGATGGTCACAGCCAGGTGAGGGGTCCTACTGGACCGCTCCGCCAAAATGTGCTTTGAGTGTTGGTTATTGTTGGTAGTGGGTAGACACAGATTGTATTGAGTAGTGCCAAGTTATGAGTTTTATATGCTTAGACCTAAATTCATAAAAAGTAAAATACATACATATTTATGTAGGTAGTTTGGAAATGCTTGTTGACAAAAAAACTAAAAAATATGTTATCATTTTATGAAGCTTTTAGTCCTTTTTATTTTTTATAACACCTGTTAAATTTTTATTTTGTATATCTAGTCTTTATGTATGCACACTTAGACTAGTCCGCCCTACTCTAAAAAAATTCTCACAAGTACCGCACAGTGACTTTTTTCGAATAAGTGCCTGAAGAAGCTAATAAAATAAGCTCTGTACTGCCACTTTTATCAGTATCGATACTATCGGTAGACAAAAGCTATCGCTAAATGTCGTGAGAATATCGATAGTTTTTCGATTTTATTTGGTTTCAATTAATTATTTTACACTCATATCTTAAAAAAATGGATTAATATTATTTGGCCATTCTACGCAAATACAGTAGGGTGGATGCTCTCTCATATATTTATGTATGTACCTGCCTCTAATATAGCCTCATAATGGGCCTTGGTGGAGGGCAGCCGAGATAACCTAACCGATATGTATACGTAAGCATATGTACATAAACTTATTCAAAGCGTATTCTGTGTTTATTCTGCTTATTCTGTATACTTCGCGTGGTGATTTGTGTAAATTTTTCGCTTGTTTATCATTCTAGCAAGACGTAATATGCCACAGATATTGTATATGCATACTTAACAGGCAAATCTTTATCATTCAATTTTCATGAAGTTCAATTCCCGACATACACCACTTAAAGAAATCGTGCAAATAGCATACAAATTAAACTTCAACTGTCAACTTCGGGAATGTTTACCCTTCAACTATTCGCTTTTAAGGCATTGGCATTTTATTATTACATTAAATCATGTCCATTTATACTTTAAACTAGAGCCCTCAGTTGTTTCCTTTCTAGACGGATAGCTCGTAGCGCACTGTTTAAATTTGAAAAGCTTTAAGGCCATTCATAAAAAAAAAATTACTAATCCTTTACAAATTATTAAAATATAACTACCTGCTAAGAAAAAAGTTTAGTAACTAGAATGCGGAAACCAAATAAAGAAATATTACTTGAACCTTGATCGGTTTTTCTTCACAGACGGAGTCTGTCAATTTGGAAACGATCCTCAATGACATCCAAGCTATATCAGAGGACATTTTGGCGATTCAGCTGGACAAGCGAAAGGGGAATGATAATGACATCAACAAGCCGCTGGAACAGAACGACAAAAACAAGAAGCCTTACCGTTCTGAAATGAATCTGACACTCCAGTACGACGGGGTAAGTCAAGCCACTACTGCCGCCAACAAGACCGCGACCGCAACACAGACGTCTTTCGGCAGCAACGGCGGCCACAACGCCCGCTGTACGCGTTCATTGGAACGCGAACACACCGATAGTCCGTCGCCCCACATACCCGACGCAATGGTCCCCTTTCCAGACAAACGTACCTACATCGGCTTTGATCAGCTGAACAACGAGGCAATAATTGAGCTGCCGCCTTCAAGCGTTGCAAATATGCAAAGACCGCCACTGCCAACAGTAGTAAGTGCACCCAACAAGGCACATCCACCAACGCCGCCGGCGCGCGGGTATCCATCGCCGCTTAACATACGCTGCGCGGGTTTGGCGCGTGGCACGCCTGTGGCAATACCAGAGCCACCGGGAGAGGAGACGGCGAGCAGTGCACAGGGCAGCACGCCAGTGATAGTAGGCCTTGCACCAAACAAAAGCCAACTTTATACCGCTATAGCGAATGCGGCAGCTAAGCGCGCGCAGTATCGTTCATCAATGGCGCATTCACTAGAAGGGCATATGTCCGCTGCAGCTGCAGCAGCGGGGACGGATACGAATAATGCGGATGCCGCAAACGAGGTGAGTACGGCTCGGCGAAGTTGAAATATACAAGAATTTGTTTCATGTACATAATGTATCCTTTATTTAGGCGCTGAGTAGTGAGGCTGCGCGACGGAAAGCGCGACGCGTTTCAATCGTTTGTGGCGACTCAAGTACGCCGGACTCACCTGACGCAGTGACAAATCCTCACCTAATTCGATCTCAAGCACAAATTAATTTGAGTGGCGTGCAGGATGCCGCCACAGCTACTAATTCAAATTCAGCGAACACAACAATAACAACAGCGAATACGATTTCTCCATCCGTAGGTAGTTGCTCAGACCTGCCATCCGCGCTGGTTAATCCAGCGCTGAGGAACCTCAAGCAGACCAGCCACAGCACACCCAATTCACCACATTCCTTGCGACGTCGCAGTAACAGTAACACTATGAGCCCGCATAACAGCGTTGCTGACACCGCACATCCCCCACAATCACTGTCGGCCAACACGTCCCCGCGCCACACGGCTACCGTACACCATCATCACAGCAATAGCAGTTGTAGTAATATTTCCGCGGCTCAACAACGAAAATCCAGTCAGGACTCTACGCCCGGCAACCCGACAGAATTGGCTGCTGTTGAGGCAATTGCAGGGCGCTCACGTTGTTCCAGGCGTCACTCCGACGGTACGGTGGCGAGTAATGCGCATCGCATTAGTGGCACTTCCGGTCATCACCACCATCATCGCCACCATCATCATCAGCACAGTTCGTCGGTGCTCAGCAACAATCTGCATCACAGCCATCATTCGCATCAGGACAGCACTTCGTTGTCGGAACACGGATCGAACAGTTCGGCTTCGTCGCGAGAATCCTCGACTTCGTTCAGTGTGCGTTCACATCGGCGGAAAATCTCAATTAGTTCGCACACCGGGGGTAAGATACCATGGTGTGGGTGCTGGGGCAACGGCTGCTTGTAGGTAAGATAAATGCATACAAATGTATGTATAGTTGTGTGGCGCGAGTGTATTTTAAAGTGTATAAAAACGTCTAAGTAAATGTAGTAAATTTGAATTTATATATAAATACACATTAATTAGTTTTATTATATTTATCAATTTAAATGTATTTAAATTCGTTATGAGCTAGATTCTAGGAAATTCGTTCGAATATAGATTACTATTAAAATATTGAATATAAATTAATTAAATAAATGTTCTAATATACATATTAAGCTACACAGCTGTTCGAATCGGTCATTTTATAATTTAGCTTTATGGAGTTTTTTTTTGTTAGGGCAGATTTAATCAGAATTGAGTTCCATGGTTAATTTTGAGTTGTTAAATATATATTAAAATAAAAACTAAAAATGTATGCTAAGTGTTTGTGAGGTCGTCTTATTATTGTAACACAACTAGAGAGATCTTCAGTACGGTATTTTTATTATTCCACTCCTTCTTTATTTATTACTACAGTTTCAGGAAACAGGATATCTCAAGAGTAAAAGTTTGCCTTTATAACCTGGCATTAACTGATGCTGAAAAAAATCGTTATGATTTTCTTTACGAAGCGAAACCGAGTCCACTAGCTTTGACTACTTTATACAGACCTTCTTTGGTTTACATATCTTAAGAAGTTTAAGTTGAAGTTGAAGACTGAGAATGATAAAAGCTTGGCAGTGCAACATCATATGTCTGCTGTTTTCTATAACTCGTGACACAACCTGCTCTGGCCAAAGTGAAGAACGCTCACCTTTGGCAAGTCTTCATTACTACATATTAGCCAGTACTATAGCCGGCAATAATTATTATTATTTAATTTCTTGGACCTTATCTAGAAATACACAGTTAACTTACCACATGCAAGTGAAAAAGAACCTTCGACTTCACTTTTGGCTTCTTCCACCAGATATGGGTCTGATAATCTAGATGCATCCTTTGCATTAGTTTTCGTGAAGTAAAATTTAAGCTCCTGGCCTTTTGAATAGTTTCATTTCGGTAGATATTTTACGTCTTTAGATAAGTATATAATTTTTCCTTGAAGAAATAATTCAATTCCATTTATTTTAGAGAAAAAACTGACAGTTTTCTTAGGGCTGAAGTGTAATCTGTTTTAACGACATCATTTGGTGACTGTGTTCAGAGCATTCTTCTGGAAGATACAGATGTTTGGTATGTTTTGACTGCATGACTTGGCGATTATGTTCAGCGGATTCTTCTGAAGGACAGAGATGGTATCCTGAAGCCTACCTTAGACATCCGCATAGCTCTGAATATCAAAGTTCTTTTAACTTAGAAGAAAGGGTACGATGAACCATAATAGAGGGGAGATCTTTTCGTAACCAAGATTCTGTCATACAGTGAATATAATCTTTATGTATTTAAGGACTAGAGCAGACAGCGATGTCTACGGTTCGACTTTTTGGGCCTTAGTTCGCTACATGTCTATACTATGTACATTAGACTGCATCACCAAAAAAATTGCGGTTTTTTCGCCGGGACTACAAAATTGAATATATGTATTTGAAGACGTCCACCGAAATATTTTGTAAAAAATATTAAGATTGAAACTAAACTTTGAAAAAAGTCCAAAAACTGCATCAAAAATATCATTATTATGATTCCGTGGGATTTTTTTTTTTTAGAAATTTGTATGCAATTTTTTTAAGCTTACACAGTTTTG